TATATATAATTAAATATATATTCCTCAGTTACCCCAAATCATTTAATTCATGGAACTGCACTTTGAACTATTTGTGGACATCTCAGTGCAGATCTAATAACCCTAGATTCAGTTATTTCTGCTTTCTTTCATACACAGAGCTACAACATATGTGCATAAAACGTTAGCATAGTCTCTAAAGGAAAATTTAAATATTTTATACAGAATCGCAAAGTAATTGAGGCTGGAAAGCACCTAGTTCAAGCTCCCTGTTCAAAGCAGGGTCAGTGAGAGCAGGTTGCCCAGGGCTGTGCCCTGTTGTGTTTTGAACACCTCCAAGGACAGAGACTCCACAGTGTCTCTGGATAATCTGCAATTTTGCAATGCTTGTAAACATATGGAAGTATTTAAGATTAAAAAAAGTGCCTTATTTTATACAGACAGTTGAACATTAGTAGTGAGCTGCATTTTGCACTTCTTGATTGAGCAGCTATAAAACATTTCACAAGACTGAACAGGGAGCAATACCAACATAATCTTCGCTATTACGTAAGCATTTTTTTTCTAACAGCTGATCCATGTATGATGTTTACAAAGCTAAATAGTCAGCAGCTAGAGGGCTTAGTTGTTTAACATGAGCAATAACAATTATCAGTAGAAGATTACCAGTTCAAACCATGTGGTCAGTCCAAACAAGTTTCAGTAGACCAGCTCCTCATATTTAGACACAGGTTTACTCAAGCTCCTGAGAAATTGTATATATGGTGGTGTAAGCTCAAGTCTGGCCCTAAGTTTGAATCCAGACATTTTTTCTCCATGTTATTAAAAATTTCTACCCAAAAATTATCTTCCCCAAAATTTCATAGATCTTCCAGGGTCAACAAAACATGCTGAACACTCCCCAGGGTCCCCAGGTAATTATTTCAAGTAGTTTCAACTCTTGGCTGATAGAAGCTACTTCTTAATAGACCCTGACTCCCCAATGTTAAAAGCAGATTTGAAGTTTCACCAGTACTTAGCTTCCATTTCACAAGCTATCAAATGGCTAATAAAAATGTCAGAAAAAGGAAGTCAGTTCTGCAGAGTTTTCAGGTTTTATTGTTATCAGTTAACAGATAATTGGCCTACACATGCCTAAACAAAAATAATAAAAGTTAACAGTTCACTAGTTGCTAAAAAGAGCCTGTCAGTCTTGAACAGCATCGAGTTGTATGTATTAAGTATAGCAGTATAATGTAATAGAACACAATTCCACCCTCTCCTTCCTGTGAGGGTTCTGGTGAAACGTTGGCCCCTCCTCACTTCTGCAGCATTAGCACTGACCCTCCCTCCAAGGAGCAACCTCTTAGTGTAAGCACATAGAGCAGCAACTGTAACAAATACAGGAGATTTTGAGATATTTATCTGGTATTTATAAAGAAGAACACAATGGCTATACTGTGTCAGAGGCAAGGTACATTTAGATTTTGATAATGTCTCCAGCTGTGGCCAGTAACAAAGGCATATGGAAAATATATGAACAAAATAAGCTTCTTTCTCTCGTTCAATACAGTAGAACTGTAACACTTTTTTGAAGGGAAAGGATGGTATTGATCTAGCTAAATGTGTGTATCTCCATGGCAATTGCAAATAGATGAGTTTCTCTGTCTGGAATAATAATTTTGTAATCAGTGGAAAGTTACAGACTTCTGATTCCAGGTTCTAAATGTCACCATAAATTAGATACCAAAAAGACTGAGCAAATCATGTGTGTCAGCACACTTAGTAGAGCAGGGAGGAGGTCTTGATGTATAAAGCTGATCTACTTACTATGGGAACTGGTATCGCTAAAAAAAAGTCATTGATCACCATCAATGCAGGATGTAGCCATCCCAATTAAAAAAAAAAAAAAAGATGCTAGAAGAAATTATAGAGCCGATTTTCAGGTCAATTACTAGTTCTATCAGTTACTAGAGTTGTCATGGAACAATGTAAGTTTTCTTACCTTTCTGTTTGTTTTTTGTCTATTAAACTGGTGATTTGAAGCATACAAAGTTTTTGAAATGTGAATAACATGTCCTGACTACCAAAGACCATGTACAGAATACAATTGGTTTTTAGGCAAAAAACTTTATTATCACCAGTCTCCTGTGACTTCTCAGTACCTTTTTTCTCTTTCAGTTGATTAGACTCACATTCTTCTTAAAGGTTTTCTTTGTAACATCATTTTTTTTCCAGCAAAAGTTATTTAGCAGTTACTCCTTAAGAAAAGAGAAATCAGCTCCTTGCCTAAAAACGTTTTCTTTAGACCCCAGGACTATCAGTCAGATCAGTTAAGTCATGTTTAAATTGCTTTGATTTTAAACATTCATGAATCCACAAGGCAGCCAGTGAAAAGAACATACCCCTACAGTGGCAGCGTTAAATGGATCTCCATGTGAGCCAAGGCTGTTGAGATTCGATTTCCTTTCGGTTTGCTGCTTTGTTCACCTGTGCTTGGCCTTACTGACCAAGTGAGCGACTGCAGTGCCGTTGCGCTCAATAGTGAAAGTCTCACCAGTGGAAATCAGACTTGATTTCCAATTCCCAGCACTGCAGCAGTGTTCAGCTAGGCTCTTCCTGCTGGTCTTTTAAAGTCAGTCAGTCATTGATGACAGCCTTACGACTCCCCTGGTAAATTTTCTTCTGAAGCCATGCAAGCAGGATGTGATAAACCTAGAGTAGTAGCTGGATGCGTTTTGTCAACAAAGCTCTTTTTTTATTAGAGAAGGACGTTAACCGCTTTCTCAAATATCTAGAACTTTCCACTTTTACTCTTGTTCATTGCCAATACATAGAAGTGTTTTGGTTTGTCTTACTCAAGAGGTTCATACTGTTGTACTCAACGTCCTGTGCTACGATAGCATTATGAGGGTGTACATTGACAAGAAAACAAAAAAATCTTCAGTTCCTTCCTTTCTAGAAGCCTTCTAAAGACAGAGTGCATGCTGTTATATTTGTATGGCAGAAAATCAGGGGGAGCTGCATTTATTCATAATTACTGTTGCTTTATTCCAGAGGAACTGAGCTTAAAACCAGATCTGCTCTAACAAGCAAAGCAAGATCATGCCTTTGAATGATGGCTGGTAAATGAAAGAGGCTAAATTTTAGGCAAAGACAAATCTATTTTGGCAGTAAGCAGCTGGCTTTAGTGCCTTCTGAGCATCACTTTTTAGTCATTCTGCACAGTCTGTATTTCTCTAAATTGCTGCAAACAAAATGATAAATACTTACTGACAAAAGTTATGAGCAAATCTGATATTTCAAATCCTAATTCATGGAATCCTATGGAAAATTTTGTAATATAAAGTTATAGTCTTTATTTTTCATATTGTCAAATAATTTCATCGTTTTATTCCATGAACAATTCTCATTATATTTTATTTAGCAGCATGTTTTCCTATGAGTTTATCTCCACATTTCACTTCATTATTTTTTCCCATTTGTTATATGCAACGTCGCAGGATTTTGAAATAAATATATGACCCAGGTGAAGACTTGGTTTTATCTGTGTAAGTGGTAGCAAGCTAAGTGTTTGTAGTTTTCCTTGCTGTGTGGATGATGTGATTTTACAGATGTTTTGTAATACATTGCATTTAGACTATCAAGAAGTCAGTATCTTGTCCCATTAAGCATTTTTTTTCGTCTAGAGCTTGAGGCTTGGATTTTGAGATTTGCACATTAGTGAGAAGTTATTCTTTTTGGAGTAATCCTTATGACTAAATACTTCAAAATATGAATGTAATTCTCAGAATTTGAGTTGTAACTCCCAGATATTAATCTCCTGTTTGCTTTTTGTAAGCATTTTACTGTAACCGAAAGATTTTTCATCTTATCAGAATACACCTCACATGATATATAGAGGGATTGACTCTGCAAATACTGAGCATAAAACTTACAGTGATACCTTGTGCCATATTGAGTCTCCTGGCTCAGTCCTGGGACACTTGGAAGACACAAGAGGTTAGATCAGTATTCAGTATTTTTCAGCCTGTTTTTCATAGCTGTACCCGTCTTCCACAATGAATTATGTTCAGCTGCTTTGTCACTTTTTCATAAGAAAAGATATGTAAGTAAAATTTATACCTGAATATTTCCAGGCTGACGTTTGAAATGCGGAGGTACATTTTTCATTTAAAATCAGTTAGCCCTACTGCCTTCATCTTGTTGTGTTTTCTTAAGTGACAAAGTAGAGAAAATGTATTTGAATTACCAAATCATATTCACAAACTTAGTCTCATTTTGAGGCTCAACTTCTTAATAGCAATGTGCCTCTGTAGGGAACAGTTATCTTTCAAGACTGTGGCTGGCCAGGAATGTCTGATATCTGATATATAAAATGTTTTGGTTTCTTGCGGTGTTGGTAATGTGCATGTTTTTGATATTGCAAAAATTTTTTAACATCATGCAACCCAGCCTGTGGAGAGTGCATGTATAGTCTGAATCAGAAAGGAATTAACCTCCTGACTTGTTTCAACAGGTAAATTATAGCTGATGGGGCAATAACGCTCAACAGTCTAATCTGTGTGAAGTGAAAGGGCTTTGCTAATGTGTCGTGCCATTCACTGAATGTCACATCAAATCTTCTTGTCAAAGCAGTCTGATGCCTTAGTCAAAATCTGAGCACATGACCTCATGCTGTTTTGCCTTCTTAGGTATGCAGGTGCTGGAATGGAATGGCATCCCCTTGACTGGGAAGACTTATGAAGAAGTCCAGAGCATTATTATTCAACAGAGTGGGGAAGCAGAAATATGTGTAAGACTGTGAGTTTTTCCCCATCTTTCTGTTTCCATTTTTTTTTGGCTTTTCATGGCTTTTTATTTTTTTTAAATTTACAGTTGTTAAGGTGGAACCTTTGTTAGCAAGAAGCATCAATGTAATAATTAGCAAGAGTTCACTGTAAATGTGGGAGGTCTGCGTGTTCTTCTTTTCTTTTAAAGTCGTAAGGAAAGGTAAGCTGAGGCAGGTGTTCATAATTATACTTTTATAAACAATGATATCTCCATTAACAGGCCACAATCTCCTCTCATTGACACACATACAATTCACTGAATTTATTGGTGTTAGAAAAAGATGGTAATTTAGCACAAACTTGACTGTTACTGAAATCTGTATCCTTTTAGATGAAATTTGTTTAAGCATCATGAGAAATGTATAAACTTGCATTCAATCCATTAAAGATTTCACCTTAAAAGAACCTTTTCTTCTCAGCTCTTTAACAGCACTGCAAATATGTATCAGCTAAGAAGGGGCCATGCTTGGGAGCTGCTTTCTGTCATGAACCACTATTCATTTATTTACTTAATACAATAATGAGGGTATGAGGAAAGAGTTTCTTTTGTCTCAGGCTTCTCATTGCTTTCTTTAGGGACCTGAACATGCTCTCAGACTCTGAGAATCCCCAGCACCTGGAGCTGCACGAGCCAATAAGGGCAGGTGAGCGACAAGCTGTTGCTTTGATATAGACCAGATGTAGGTCCGTTGGATGTAGGACCAGATAGAAGATGAAAGTTGGATCTGATATAAGCTAGGATATTAGCATGGTAAGCTCAGGTGCTATGTCCCAAATCTTGCCATGGGCAGAAAGGGGACCAACACCTTATATACAAAGCCAAGCATTTATTGTTGATGATTATTATTAGCCCAGTTCAATCCATAGTGACGCAGTCTACATTATCTAATTACTACAAAGGAAATCTCAGGAACGATACTGCAGCAAATGTTTGTCACCCAGGGAAAACCTCCCACTGGGTACCCCCTCATCTATCTATACGTGCCACATAATGGTCCCCCTTCAGCAGCTTCTCCGGGCCCTGCGGTCAGTGCTTTCACGCCGGGGGCACTGCAGCAAGTCCACCGTGTCCTGAGGAATTTGCTGGGAGGAGTGTGATGTTTGTGGTGGGATCTTTTGACTCCTCCTTGCTGGGAGGTGGATGATGTTGATGATTCCTTCCTCTTCCCTTCAGGATCTGTTCGGGGCCTTTTTTATGTTTTCTAGCATGCCTTGCTCTTTCCTCACCAACCAGCAGCTCTGCATTGCATATGACTTGAATGGATACTGTACACTTTACATGTGATATATTCTTGTTCTTTTTGCCTCCTGTTGCCCCCAAAATTTATTTTTCCCAGCTCCCCAGTTTGCATCGATGTCAGTAACTGACCCGCAAGTTGCTGGTAGCCCTGTGGTCTCAGCTATCATCCTGTGTCCAAACCTTGCAGCACTCTGCTGTCACCCCAGACCTGTGCTGCATTATTAGTCTGGAGTCAGAAATACTTCAGTCTACAAAGTGCAATTACTGTTGTGCCTTTATATATCAAAATTATTAAGAATGGGCTTTATACCATACAATTATAGAAGGTGAAACCTAACTCAGACAAATTAAGGTCATAGCCATCTGGTCATTAGACAATTGCTGTTGCAGCCACACAGGCTAAAACAAAGCTCCTAGCAAACTGGAACGAGTCCAAATATCACACAATAAATCCAAATATCTCTGTTAGCTTAATACAAGGCTTGTGGCCTGTTATTAGTGATGAAAATACGGTATTTACCAGGATACAGGGATGCAATAGGAAGTACTTTGTATGCAGTTTTTTTATGTGACTAAAATGGCAGTGATTTTGGGGGGGATTCCCTCCTGTTTAATCAATACCATAACTGCAGGGTCCAGACATGCTATTAGTTGTATCCAAACTAACTTTGAACCAACACCTACAATCTTACTAGTAATGCAGCCCTTCAGCAAGCTCAGTGCAGATTGTTTCACTCAGCATCTCATGGGTCCATTCTGAGTTCTGCGGTTTTGTGGCTGCTTTTTTATCTATCAGTACACAAGTTACCTGGATTAAATCCTGCATTTTCTGACTATGTGACTCTTCCCATCTATTAATATACTTACCATCAAACTACCTTTTGTTGAAAGTGGATGTTATTGATATTAATTGAAAGCGAACACTGAGTCTGACAGAGCTTTGAGACAGAGCTACACAAAATTTGTTTCTTAGTGAGCAGGTCAAAAACACCAAAGGCACTCATAAACACTAAAATTGGGCTGTGAAAGGATAGAAGCTAGAATAAACAATACTTTTTTTATTAATTCAGAAAACTCAAAATGAGAAAGAACAGAAAGAAAATTCCCCCATTCTTGCAGGCATGCTTCCTCCTAGTCTAGCGATCTTCTAGAGGTTTCTGAATTGGATCAACAACTCTGTAGAGTCCCTTCTGGCAGCCCAGCCAAGTCTTTCTTGCCATCACCTCTGAAATTTTGCAGACTGTTTGTACTTTGGAAAGGAACAATGTCCTTACCTTCTAGAAAGAAAAAACAAATACAGCCTATCAGGCAGGATAAGGCTAACATACTGCTTTAAACCTCTCATACTGCTGAGAACCTTTTTCTCAGAACTGCTGAGAAAAAACTGAACCTATTCTTTTAACTCTACGCATTTTAAGACACATATGAAACTACTTGACCTCATTTCTCTATTAAATGGTAATTATAAAGCCTATCAGGCAGGATAAGGCTAACATACTGCTTTAAACTTCTCATACTGCTGAGAACCTGAGAAAAAACTGAACCTATTCTTTTAACTCTACGCATTTTAAGACACATATGAAACTACTTGACCTCATTTCTCTATTAAATGGTAATTATAATCTATAAAGGGTAAATTGTCCTCATTCATGCCCAGGCTGCAGAGAGAGCAATCAGACTCCTACCAGAGATGCCTCACATAGTGTGTGCAATAAGGAAAGATGAATCAGGGCTTTTAGTCTTCATTTGTTTTTATTTTGTTCTGCTTTGATTAATTTGTGGTGCTAAAGATTTGATCTCCTTTTCTCTTTATTTTGGTATAAATTATCTCAGGAGCAGGATTCAGTTTTATTGAATGTCCGGTTGATTAAAAAAAGAAGTCGAGATTAAAGTTTGTTGCAACAGAGTTCAGATACTTGGTGAAACTGGACCAGTTCCAAACAGTGCAAGTTAGCACAGGCCAGTCTTTAAAACTGTAATTTGCTCTGGTATGATTCAGCATGATCAGCAAAGCCTGTTTTTCTTCAGCTAGAAAATAACCTTCTCAGAAAGCTTGTGAGATGAGTAACACTAGTTGAGAGCATGTTGAGTAGAAAGATTGGAATTAGAATGTTGATGTTGTGGGTGAGATGTCTATTTTTTATAGCTTGCCTGTTGCATCTTCAGAGTATACAAGCAGATGATATGACAATTTGTAAAGAGCATCATCCTGTCCCGTACCATGGCAAGGTGGATTTGAATGCGCTAGCAATTATCAACACAAAGCTCTTTTACTTTAATCCAGTAGATAAAGCGAAGTCCCCAGGGGTTGATCCCAAGCAGCTGGCTGCAGAACTCCAAAAGGTTTCTCTACAGCAGTCGCCCTTGGTTGCTTCCTCAGGAGTGGAAAAAGGATCTCATGTTCATTCTGGAACCACTTCTGCCACTTCCAGCGCTGTTCCCAGCCCTGGTCAGCCTGGTTCTCCTTCAGTGAGCAAAAAACGGCATAGCAGCAAGGTAAGAAATTTCTCAGTTATATGGCAATATCAGTTTTTTGATGACAAGAAGAAACTGCCTATTTATCTTCTTTAGTGTAGCAAGAAATCACAGCACATATTGATTAATTAATTTCTGTGACAGTGATGAGTATTATTGTTAAGATATAGAATTTGAGCACAAGGAAAGGAGATTATGTGATTTATCCAAGGTCATTCAAGATTGGACCCTCTCTGAAAATAGATTTCTTAAACTTAATATTATTGTTTTTTAAACAAAATAATTGCCCTTTTCATTCTTCATTGCTGTTGCTTTTTAACCTGCATCCTACATGATGGTGAGGTATTAGTTGCAGAGAAGAAGCTGCTGTTACTAAGACCATAATTTCGCTCTCTGTCTGAAGTGTTACAAGCTATGAATAATCATAGCAATATCAAGCATTTCTCTGAAAGCCAGGGAGAGAATGAAAAATAAATTTACCATGACAATGTGTTCTGTCACTAGCTAATCCCTCTGAACTTGTTAAGCCTAACTTCTCATTTTCTTTGCCTCATCCTGTCCATTTGACAGCTGAACTTCTTTCTCCTTGTGCACCCACGTGCACTCCTGGAAAGGGCAGAGTGGGAATTTAGTAGTGTTTTTTCACAGTTGAAACTGAAAACTAGAGCATAACATCATCTGTCACATTTTTGCATTTTTGTGTCAAAAAAGTTAACACCTGAAGTGAAAAATCAATCCTGCGAAGACTGCATTTACTTAAGCACTTTGCAAGAGAGCTAAAGCTGATTGCTATCCTTAATACTCAGTTTCTCACTGTCTCACTACTGGAAGCAAAGCTTCACATTGGGAAACAATGTTCTTTCTGGATATTTACTTCTCTGTATCTTTATTTCTTCTTGGGACTGTCAGGTTCCTACTGCATTATTGTTATGTTTGTATTTTTGTGCTGTTGAAGTTATGACTGTGATCTGAACTACAAATGTGTTAGGTGCTGTGCGAACAAAAACCAGCAAATGGTGCCTGCTCATTTCAGACAGCTCTTCGATACTCTTACGTAACTTTAAAGTGAAGAGAAAACACAAAAATCTCTTTCATCCAGCAATTTAGGAAAAACTGCAAATATATTTATTGATTGAGTATTTTTGGATAGTAATTTTGTCTTGCCACAATTTCCACACACTTTTTATGAATTAATTCAGGTCTATGATAGACAAGTTCAATCCATACATCAAGATTTACCCCATCTAACTTCAGGCATCTGGCAGAATTGCCTAATCATGAGGTTAATAGTTGGTTTCATTACACTTTACTCTGGATACTGTAAGCATCTGTATATGAACTAGTTTGCCATGTGCTTCGCGTTTACCAGTGAGAATAACGCACTTCTGAAGTGCAACTCATGAGGCTGGATGAAACCCGCCACTGAAGTGCGTGCACTGCATGGAAAGGAGAGGGCAGGGCTCTTAGTGCAGGTGTCACTATCGACACCGAAACCTTTTTTCATTTGATTAGAGGAATCACACTCCCAATTCACCACAGAGCATATGGAGTTCCATAAATCCTTGATGTGCAGCATATCCTGGAGAGAGAGCTCTGTCCACTTAAGAAGACCCGGTTCCCAGCTTTGGCACTGTATCCGGCCGCCTGACGTTAGATGTATACATTTCATTTCCTGCTTCACAGAGGGTTTAGTAATCTTTTATGAAAATTCAGCTGGAAGTTTATAGAGATGAAACAAAACATTATTAAAACTAATACCTTTGTGTAGGGGATGCAAAAGTCAGAACTAATCAGGTAAATATTAAAACATTCTTTGCTTATTTCTGAAAATTACATTAAGAGGCATTTCTTTCAAAACAACAGTCGCTGTTGTTGACTTGTATAGTTTCTGTTCATTGACTGCAAGCCAAGTTTCTAATGGTGTTGAGCTCTCTTAGAAGAGAAAACTACTACTCATCCTTTCTGGAGCGGCTCTTTGCCTTGGGCTGAGAGCATTTCTAGGCAGGCTGCAGCCTTGCCAAAATATCATGACAGACTAAATATGCAGACTGCCTAGATCTTGTTTTTGTGACTGTTCTTAATTTTAGCAAGTAAAGTTTTTTTTTTAAGCTTTTTGTATAGAATATACACTCTAGAAATGTTGTAGGAGTCTCTTTGATACTCTGCAGTGCCGATTCCCTCGTATTTAACGCTTTCTCCCATTACTACGGCGTGATAGTGCATAGCATGAAAGCCCGGCATTAAAAAGTTTCACAACACAGTAATGGCAACCTTCTCCAGCAGGTGTGATATTACAAAGCACTGGCTTTTACACGGGGTGTGTGAGTGTCTGTGGGGAGTACCAAAGAAATGAGGACGAAATTAGATTAGCCATCACAGGAGAGATTTAACCTTTGGGAGCCTTGAGCCGGCTATATCCTGTGCAGACCTGTTTCTTTTGTAATGTAAATTCATGGTCATTCTATGGTGCAGATTACATCCAGGATATAAATGCCCTATAGAAACATTTAATTGTCTTTGTATCTTGAAGAATGGGTTATTTTTCTAAACCCTCAGATCCTTTAGCTCCTAGAGAAATCAGCAATGAAATGCTTTTCCTTCTTTTCATATTAATCCTCACTGAGGCCCTGGTAAAGAAAGATACGTATTTGCATCTCTGTCTTTCAATCCGTATTCAACTTCAAAGCTGGCCTAGCTCTGAGCTGGGGGTTGGATCAGATGACCTTGAGAGGTCTCTTTCAGTCTAAATTATTTATGTTTCTTTGAAAAATTTGGGTAGTTCTTCATGGTCATTTTAAAATCAGCTGACAACAGAGAGAAACCAAAATATTTAATATGCTGAATCTTAGCCTTGTAAATGAGTATAGAGATTTAACAACGATATCGAAACATAAAAATGCATATTTATTTTTACAGACAAGTAGGTGAAAGCAAAGTAACTGCAAGGCTAAAGGGAACTCCACTTTAACCATTTTTTGAAGTCGCCACACAAATTCAGCACGCCCGTTCACTTTTCTCAGAAACTCCTTCTACAGTATTCATACTAATACATTCTGTATTACATGATATTAGTAGTGAAAAAACTCATTGCTTTTGCTATTCAAATATCTGAAAAATTAGAGCATGTAGACTATCCAGCAGTGATTTTGTAGCTGCAGCACAGCTAACTCCATGCTATTTTGTAGCGTTGTCAGAATTGTCAGTGCTAGTACCAACTGAGGTCAGAAATATTAAAGTATAATAAAATCCATTTGTAGAGGTAAAATATGAGGAAAGTAATCCATTTAAGTGCTACTTTGAAAGTTTGCATGATACCCAGGTAGTTCTATGTCTTTGGCAAGAGGAGTGAAATTCTCTCTTTAATTATTGTTTCAAGGACCAAACAAGCTTTAGGAGTAGCTTGTTATCAATTTAAAATACACTTAAGGTTCAGAACATTTTATAAACTATTGATGACCTATTTTAGCTGTTACAGGGATTATACTTCTTTAAAAGCTTTGTTAGCTACCAATAAAAGCTGATTTAAAAAGTTTTCCACAAGAATTGTTTTTTGAGAGGCACAACATTTCCTGAAAAATCAAGATTCTTTTTTCTGAAAAAGTTTGTGCTCATGAAGAAACACATCTAGAAGGCAAGGTAAAGCGTATAAAAGAAACAAAAATAAGGCAACACAATACAGTGAATATAAATACATAACAGGCAAATTTGGGCTGGTTTTATCCCTTGTTTTCTGTTGCACTAGTGTTTGGCTGGGTTAGTTTTTTCTGATTAGTTCTGGTCTGGAAATCTGAGTGATTGAGGGGATGTTTCTTCATTGCAAACCTGAAAAGGGTAGTGCATCACCTTAACTTCATGCCCTATTCCGGTAGACATATGCTCTGCATTGGCCTAATATAAAACAATTCATATCCAAATCCTGAGAAAAACTCTAAGGGCTTTTTTGGAGGGTAGGGAAGCACAAAAGAGGCAGATGAGTTTTACTCTTCTCGGAAAGGGAAGGAAATCCTAATCACCCAGAATAATATGTCAGGCTGCTGGTCATGTCTGGAAAAATAGGGAAAAAGAACAGTAAGTTTGTCCTTGTTTGCATCCTTTGTTTTCTGCTTTATCAACCAAGGAAGCAGATGTGGAGAGAATGCAAAAATATTCAAATCTGGCTACTGAACCAGAGAGAGCTTTCTTGCTTGACTGATGGCAAGATGTAGATTAGAGGTAGGTCCAGGGTGGCCCAAGTGCACCACTGTTTAACAGAAGAGCATTATTTGAGAGTCCAAGATTTGAAGCAAATTATGTTATTATTCTTCAACTACTAACAAACAGGAGGGAAGAAAAGGGGGGAAAAAAGACACCAAGGATTTTATTGCTTTTGACATCAACCTAGAGAAGCTCAGGGACAGACATCAGAGAGGAACAGGCAAGATTATACAGCATTGTAAAGGGGAGGACAGAAAATTAAATTTCACATCATGGAAAGTGTGTGGAGGAATTTGAAGATGATGTGGTGTAGCTGAATTGATTATCAGAAAACAGAATAAAGCAAAAAATATTATATAAGATGGCTTGCTGTTATGAAATCCACTTATACACATCACTCAGTTTTAGTAACATTCTTTCCACTCTTTCTAGCCACTTTCACTTAAACTCAATTTAAACTAGTGTAACCTTTGCCTCTCAAACAGAAATATGGTTGTGTTGTGCTTGACATGGTATTTGGTTACTCTTTCCAACATTCACTTTTCTTAGACAGGGTTAATGCTATATGTCTTTTTCTCCCCATGATCAGTCCGTGATCAGTCTGCTCAGCCTGTAAAGACTTCGGTGTTCAAATTGTCTGATTCTGTACTTGCATGAAGGCTCATCAAAATGGCTGGATGAACTTTAAGAGCTGTTGAAATACCATAAATATTAGTTTTGAGTGTAGAAATTGGAGACAATTAAATGTTTTTTAAAAGTAGGTGGCAATACTGCAGTATAAACACCACCTGTTAAAAAAGTTAACTTTGAAAATCTATTATTTCCAATATTTATATGTGTATATTTGTGAGTGTGTGCCTATGTATTTATTTATGTATTTTAATCTAGCAGCCCACTGAAACTACGAAGTCTGCTTCCCATCCAATCACTGGAGACATTCAGGTAAACATGTAGTTTTGCTGTGTAAATTGTTGTTGCTACTGGCTGCATTTTTCTGATGAATCAGTTTGCAGAAAACAACCTCTGTTAACTGATTCCTTATTCAACTCCAACCCCTTGAAATGTCACTAATGTAAGTCAGTGTTAGATTTTCTCCTCTGTCTTTAATGTTGGCATGTGAAATACAAACAGAAGAACAAAAAATGTTACTGTTCCTGAAGGGGCTAAAGATGTAGTGAAATTCATTCTAATCTTTAATCTTGGGCACTTACTGTGGTTTACTTCAGAAATTCCCAGACTCTCTACATTTAAGCAAAGACTGCTGTGGGTTTCTCATAGTGCAGTGGATTCATTTCCATGCAATGCCAAGTTTGTGGTTCTTTCTTATGCAAACTGACTTTACTCTAGTTTTTTTATAAACAGTGGAACTGGGAGAAGCAGAATAGATGAAGCCTAATTCCCTATAGATTTCTGTCTGTTGTTTCCTTATTTCATTCCTCTCCACTATACTAGTACTAAGGGTCTTTCCATAGTATTATAGCATCCTTCCCAGGTTTGGGCTCCAGGTAGTCAGAATTTGTGTGATTCTTACTCAACAAGCTGACTATTGCTCAGAATTATATCAAGAGTTCAAATTTCATCTGCTTTTTCCTAACTGGAATAGATTTTTTTTTTAAATTTATTTTTTTTAACCAATACTGACAGACTTTGAAAGCAAAATTTGTTTCAAGATACAACATAACCATCTAGCTTCTCATTCTAGTCAGGAGAGAGAGAGATAGAAACTTCTAAAATGTGTTTATTTCCAGCCAAGATAAAGGTCTAAAACTCACTTTATTCAAAGGGTTTTGAAGAGGTATTGAATCATTTAGCAAGTAAAAATAACAAATAATCTTACTGTGTTTCAATGCATTCTCTAGCTTCAAATCAGCTATGACAAACACCTTGGCAACCTTATCATTCACATCCTTCAGGCAAGAAACCTTGTTCCCAGAGACAACAACGGCTATTCTGACCCCTTTGTTAAAGTTTATCTTCTTCCAGGGAGAGGGTAAGTGTAGGAGAAATTTTAACCTGAACTTTCTTTTAATTTGGGTTTGTTACTTGTCACTAATAAACAGAACTGAGGCTTATTGCTATAGAAAATCCAGGTACAACACCAGGAAAAATAGTGGATTTTTAATTAGAGAGCCAGATCCTATTCCCAGGATAATGTGCATACTTTGCTAATGACTTCAGGGACTTCATGATCATTCCTGTAGATTTAATTATTTTTTTTCATTATTCCTTTTAAAAATTCTAATACATGGGAAAATATGTATTAGAAGAACAACGAATTTTACTGAAATGTACTAAATATATGTAATACCTTCTGTAATACAGAAAGCTACATTTTAAGGTTAAAACGGAATTGTTGCTTCAACTCAAGGCATTCTGAAATCGTGACGGATTTAAATATGCAGATTTACACTATCTAAGATAAAATTAAGGTTGCAGTATAATATCAAAGGTGCAAAATACTAGACGAAAACATTCATTCCATGTGATTTTTTATGATTTTTTTTTAAGATCTAAGATGTGGTTCTAGAAATTCTGGTAATTTTGTATCTAACGACTATAAAGATCACTAATCACTTTTTCACAGACCGCTTTTTTAGACTCTGTAATTACAAATAGCTCACTAGTGTTTCTTTTCAAATATATGTTTCTGTATCAGCATTATTATAACTGTTTTTTGTGCCCTAAAGTTGCAGAATGTCATAGGTATACATAAGCATGCATGGTTATAATAATCCCGCTGACTTCAGTGGCAATATCTAAAGCTAAGCTGACGGATCGGACCTTAGATTGCACAGACAAATTTCTGCAAACTTCTCTTCTTGTGTAATCATACTCGTCCTAGAAGACTCTTAGGCTAGGACCATGCAACTAGAAATATCTATTTTTGTTCTATTCAAAATAACAGGAAAGTGGATGCTCAGGTCACAGTGCAGCACTTGGCATATGGGCAAGCACAGCTAAAAGCACATGAATGGTACAGCTGAAGGCATGTGTATTCTTTTGTAGCTTGCTACTCCCAGCTATACAACATTCAATATCGTTCAGTGGCACTGAGCCCAAAACTATTACTGAATATAATGGGAACAGTTCCTAAATCTTGAGGGTTTTTTTTAACACACCTACGAGTCTTGTAAAATACGTGTCAATTCAACCTTACTGGGAATTTTGCAGGTACATTCATGATGTAAAAATAATACTTTGAAATAGAGACACGTTCACCCTGCAGAGGTCTAAGCCAGATCCAAATATAGACTTAAACTTGCTGCCAAGTTATGAAGAATTTGGATTTTAATTTTGTTTGGTTTCATTATTTTAAAACATGGCAATGTTACAGTTTTGCATGTAATGTAGGGCTTTAGGGAATAACGAAAACTAAGAGCTTCTCAAAATGCCAAACTTGTTTCTGAAAGCAGAAACTTGAATTGCTACTGAATAGCTTTTATCTGTAGTTCAGCCCATGTTAGACTTCTTATTCTTCCTAATGCCTCTATTTCCTTTGATTCTGATACTAGAAACTACCCATTAGTCACATGTTTTCTTTCATCTCTGTTCTCATTTTCTCGCACACTCCTTCCTTCCTCTGTGTTCCTAACTCTCTAAATGCTGGGTATGCAGACAAGTCATGGTTGTCCAAAATGCAAGGTAGAGTATGCGATCTTTCATTTTTGTATGCATGCATGATATGATAAGCCTGTGCATTGAGCTCATAGATTTCTCTTGAGTTTTCATAGCACGTGATTGCAGCATGGTTTTGCTGTTCATTCTCTAATGAATCCAATTTCCAGGTCAGAAGGAACTGGAAACAATTAATTAATGCTTCTTGATGCAGTAATATTCTATGGCCAAACTCTGACGACAAACAAAATTTCTTTTGAAGTCTGGAAGTATTTAGTTGAAAGATATCTAAAAATTCATTTTCACTCACTGAAAGTTGCAAAATTATTAACTGGAACTTGTATCAAGATTTTGAATGGTGTTACTGCCAAAAGAAATAGGCACTGGTTGGAAATGAACTGGATATTTTTCTCTCTACACCTTGCACAGTGTACAGATATTAAAGCCAGTCATAATTCTAGATAATTGCCCAACTGGCTTTAAAGCTGCTTGACCACAGAAATGGCTATTTGTGGTAAATAAAGTTGAACTTTTAGTTATTGAAAATGCTAGTGCTTTGTTTGTTCTGGAGCTGGAAACATAAGGCAAAACTCCATCTTACGGTATGCTAATATCAGCCCAGGCTAAGTACACAATAATAGTAATTCAGCCCTAATTCTAAATTTGTTTATAAGTAGAAACCTGACCAAACAAGTCAACAGATTAATTTTAATTAATAGATCTTCTCTATCATCACCCTGTTTCTTCATTAATAAAATTATTTAATGAATGTGTTTAAATGCCACATTTCATATACAGTTTTTCTATTACAGTTTTTTCATTGTACTTTCAGCTGTATTATGTATTAATAAACTATAATTAGGGAAGCATAGGGAACAAATAAAGAAAAGAGTAATGCAGTTTGTATCTTCACACAGCATACTCTATGAATTTCAAGTGAAAACTATTTCATACTACGTATAGACTGGTTTAATGAATGTGTTTTATTAAAGCATCACCATCTGTTAATCACAGTTGCTGGGGGAAGGTGCATTGGTGGTATTAAATTAATGTATTTGCCAGATCCTTCCCTTCAGAGGTCTAGAAACCTTCAGCTGTCATCCACCTTAGCCTGGGTCTGCACCTCCTTAGAAGTGGTCAAGGTCTCCTGCTTCCCTCTGCAACAGATCCAGACCGTAGGTTACATGAATGTGGGCTAATGCCACGCTTGCCAGTTTAGATCCAGATACTCTATGGACTTCACTGGCAATACTCCAGAGTTACCATATTAACAACACCTTTACCTTTTGTCACTGTCAGCTCTGAAACTCAACAGTACATGAATCACCTTCTCATGTATTTCTGAAAGGAATCAGAAGCTTTGAAAATGTGATGAAGTTGTAATGTTGCAAAAGGAAATCCAGGAAAGGAAATGTCTTGGTGTCATTTTCTTCGTTGAGTGCACAAGGGTCCTTTTCTACTTTCTTCAAAAAGATGAAAGTATATCAGTTCCTTAAAACCAGTAGATCATAAGACATTTAGTGAAACCCAGACTGTATAATACTGTCCTGGCTCAGTTAATGTAAGAACTAAGTGGGTTACTCTGGGTGTAGGAGGAGTTTGGATAAGTTAGTATTTCATTAATAGATGATCAAAATAGATATTCACTCGAGACTGTGAGCCCAGAGAGAGAGATGCTGCCAGCCCAGCTGTCACTTGCCTGTGTCCCAGGTCTCCTCATGGGTCAGTCAAATCTCATGAATACTTTGAATGTTGGGGATGCTTTTCTCAGATCAGAGAGTGGGAAAAGAAGGCTACTGAGGTGCTTAAAAAATTTAAATGCGTTGCTGAATAGTATTTGCCATCAAAATCTAGTTTCCAAAAGGGTTCAGATTTTGTATCTCAACTTTCCTTGCAAGGTATGCAAATGATTTTCTTTTTCATATGCTCTTGATCCCCCTAAATTTTAATTAATCTTTTTCTTACTGACGTACAAGAAACAAGAAACCTTTTTTTCCAAAATATACGGTTGTATGCAGTGGCTGACAGAACTGATTGCATTGTGGAGAGCTGCTACTTTCTTCTCATAAGCAGAGGTGGACAGATACTTTGTTTCACAGGTCCCAGTGCCCTTCACAGTTTTTGATAAACTGGAAGACCGTGGGTAGTGCGTTTTGCAAGAAAATAAATGGAACTGCACAGAATGACAATGAGCAAAAAGTGGGAGCAAAAATAGCTGCAAGTCACTGCCACTGAAAGAGAACAGTCCAGTAAGCAGCTTGGGTATGGCCACCCCCTTCTGGAGAATGAGGCCACTACACGCTCCAGAATAATTAGAGGCAAGCACTGCACAACAGAATTGATTTTGTAGAGTGAAACTGCTGGTGCTGAAGATCCAACATTGGTATATAAGTGTCAATGAAACACATACATCGTTCACATAACGTTAATTCAGACCTGCTCCAATCTGGTACCATGCATGGTACACCATTAGTGACTAGCTGATCAAGAGAGTTCCTGGAGTGCATCTGCTGAGTTAATCTCATATGAAAGGAATCTAGTTCATTAACTCTGAGACCATGCCACAGCGTGAGCCAAAACACAGTTCAGTCAGAAGTCAGAAGTGAGAATCAGGAGAACTGCACACTACCAAAAATTAATGTGGAGGAACCATAAGAGAGTTTAACAGGGCAGATAGAGGTCATTCTGTGCCATTTGGTCTCAGTGCTGGAGAACAGTCCTGGACACATTTAATTTATATATAGCATGTAAGTGCTTTAATGTATGCGAGGTTTGAACAGCAGACAGAGCAGTTACCTTGCAGAGTGGCAAGAAGAGGGTCTTCACCTTATATCTTGTTAGGTTTTGAAAGTATTAAAAGCTTCTCTTATTCTTCTACCCAGCTCTTTTGAATTGTCCAGTAAAATTTATATTAAATTAAAATTGGAATGGAAGCAGATCTCACATCAAAGCTCACAGAGATAGATGAACCCGTACTCTGTTAAAGATTAGTGTATTGCTGTCTCCATACTCGGGAAATGCAAAGTACAACAGAAAGCGCTACCGATTCTTTTTAAAAACAGATTATGCAGCCAAACTTTTTATTCTTGGCTATTGATAAAAACAATCATGAGCTTTTATGTTTGTTTCCAGTGCAGCTGGAGGTATAGTCAGAGAACAGGATCAATAAGAAATTAGTGTTTCTATCATTAACAGGATATTAGTTAGCCCATGGCATTCATTAAATGTTCTTGTGAGATGGGACTCATGTAATTAGAGACTGTAACCTATAAATATGATGGATTCATGCTACTTTAAAGTGTTAATAGGAGGATGGTCTTGGAAAATACATCAATGCATTATCACTTCAATTTATAATCAGAGCCCAACACCTACAATGAGAGAACAAAGCATATGTACATGTGCTGACTGATGCTTTGTATTGAAGCGGTTGAAGGCAGAGCCAGCCTGCTGAAGAGTCAGAAAAAGATGTTTTAAAAGACCATGTCAGGAAAGTATACTAATGAAAAAAACCTAAAGGCTGTCATTGTCCTCTTGTAACCCTGAGCTGTTGCAGAAATGAGAGATGCAGTTCTGTTCTTTTTCTGGGTTTTGGTTTGTGGGTCTTTTTTTTTGCATTAGAACGGAAAGAAACAAAAGATTGCTAATGTAATGTTTCCTTCCTTTGTTCAAATTCAGTGCTGAATACAAGCGGAGAACTAAATACGTACAGAAGAGCTTGAATCCTGAGTGGAATCAGACAGTCATTTATAAAAATATCTCCATGGAGCAGGTGCGTGGCTGGTAGTACCGCTCAGTGCAATTTGCTGCTTTTTTATTTGTATTGTCTGCAGTGCTTGCTGTGATCGGAGCAGTGCTACTGGCAATTCTGTGAACCCCTGTAAAATCTTGCCAAATTTAGGGGAAATTTGGAACTATTTCCTTGCCTCTGATAGAGCTTACTATATCAATATTCTTTTCTTGTCCCTTCTACTCATAAAAATGGTAATTTGTGGGGATTACACTCATAATCATGTCATAAGTACAGATGTGGCAATTTAAAAAATGATAATGGAAGGGAATAAATTGAGACATAAGTTTCTGAAGTAGATGCAGAAATCACTGTCACTCTTCATTCCAAAAGCCGTGCAACCTCAGACAAAACACAGGTCCTACCATTTTCTTATTCAAAAATATTTATAAAATGTAAAGATATATTTTTAGATTTAACAGCAATGTACAGCCATGGGCTTGAAATATGAATCTTCTGAAAAAAATTTAGAAGATCTTTAGTTTCCTTATTATAGAAAGATTTAACTCACACCTGGGAAGGAGGACAGTGGAACTCACCTCTGATTCTTGGTGGCTTCCTAACCCTAATTGACCTATAGGGTTAACTGAGGTCAGTGTAGCAACTGAGTCCTCTTGTTCTCCATCTCCCCTTTTAAAGGGACATTTTACTGTTTGAAAAAGGCATAATCAGCAAAATTATGATCAGGTCATTTGTTTCAATTATGAAGTATATTTTATAGAATAATGGATCTGTACACCGTCCTTTTGCCTCAGTGTTTTCTTCTTGATACTTTCAACTTCATTTTTCAAGGCCACCTAATCTTTCAGTACTTCTTAAAATGCCCAGAATAATCAAACCCTTTAGAGAATATGTTTCCCAAAGATATTAATATACTTATCCAACACAGCACCAACAAGTATCTTCTTAACTTAAAATTTGGTTATTCATTCTTCTTGTTCACTGAAAGGAACATAATCATTTTTGCATGGAGCAAAACCCTTTCCACAGAGGAACTTACATGGCTGCTCATCCAATCTGCACATCTGAATTTAACAGGCAGTAGCCCAGGTTTACTTCAGGGATACCCTGTTGCAGGTAGTGGTTGTGGTTCGCTGGGTTTTACACACTGTTTCGTGTATGCTTGCATAAATGGTAGCTCATTGACAGTGCAAGCTTTAGAGAAAAACAACTGTGATGTTTGTCTAGCTGCAAAATAAAACCTGGGTCTTCTGAGTTTTGTGAAAAGGTTTGGTAAGTCTTAGCAATATTTCCAAACCGAGCTTTCCATTTAAGAAAGGCTCTTCAGTTTACTTAATTTGCTTGCAGGTTCTGCTGTGACATTTCACAGAGCTGTAATTAAGAGTGCTTGGGTGTTGGACATTCAGTGGCCGTTTGATGATTTTAAATTGAATGATGATCTTAGTATAGGATTTCTTGGACAGAGATTTTTGTATCAGAAAATCTAATATCTTTGGTGTCAGTTTTTTGACCATTATTTGATGAAATTTGCCTTTAGGTCGCATATTCAATTTTTTGAACCTTTGCTTTCTATTTACAAATCTCCTTTCTCTTCCTCTGAGACTGTTACGCAGTGCTTAGAATTATAAGTGTGTAAGCTCCATCTGAGCGCCACATATATTGTATATTTTGTCCTCTTGTCACATAGAGGTATGTGCAGGGAATAGTGTTTCCACACCTTTCCATGGCTTCTGTCTAGTGGTAAGATACTGGTGTGAGTGATTCTTTTCCTATGAAATTCAGTGCCCTGACTTAGAGAATATACAGTAAAGCACATTTCTAAATCACCAAATAATTCCATGCTGATGATAAGTACCCTCTACAGTTTGAAGAACTATCACCATGCAATAGTATATTGTTTGCACTCATAACCCTCACGAATGGATATTTCAAAATAGTTAGGAATATGAAGAGAAGTACAAGACAATAATTGTGGCATACTGCGAATGAGCGTCCTGATCACCAAACAAGCAAAACTGCATCGTACACTAAGTTATATAGAGTTTGCAGTCATACCCTGGCATAAATTCATGAATCTGTAGAAATATTATTTCTTCAAAGAAACATTTTCTTTCCCTCCATCAAAGCATGGGTTGCTTGCTGACAGCAAATAATTATTATTAAATATTTCCTAATATAGTCCTTTGAACGTCACTGTCTAGACTTCAGCTGGTTGTACAATTTTTCATTTTCCTCTTCTCTTTCATAACCTAGCTGAAATTAAAGTGAAAATAATTGTGGGAAATAGATCACTCTTTGAAACGAAACAGACTTTTTCAAGGTCGAAATAATTAGTTTTATCACGTAGCCAATGCTACTTTGACAGTGGAAGAAAAAATAAATTAAACTATGAATATTTAGTAATTTCAGGTTTTTGTTAAATAATAAAGTGGAGATAATTACAGTTTGAGAGGAAAGCCAAGCACACGCATTACAAATATTGTATAATAATTGCTAACTCAAGTCAAATACCTACTCAGAACATGAAAGAAAGCTTTAGAATGATTTAAGGAGAAGATGGTGAAAGATGTAAGTTCTGTTGCTGGTCAGGCTATTGGTATAATGTATGACCACAATATAAGGTGTGGCTTTGTTTGCCTCAATTTCGTACTTGTCTGAAGGCAGATGAAAGTATTTCCTTAAATGATGGATATAATTCATTAAAGTAAATAGCTCTTGCTATAGCTTATGTCCTTAAATTGAAGGCATTATATTTAGAAACAGTAATATTTTCAAAATCCTTGAGTGATGTAGGAGTCTATGTCTCATTTCCAAAACTAAATGTCATTTCCAGAAGTACCTAAATCTCACCTATTATCTTGGACGAGAGAAAGAAAGTTTCTAAGTGAGCTAGAAAAAGTCTTTCTGTCCTCCCATATACTGAAGTACAGCAATATAGAGAAAAGTGCAATAAAATGCTAAATATTGATGTAAACGTAAATAAGTACAATCCATGATCTAATACAACATCTTCATTTCTACTCATCAAATATCCTAACTGAGACTGCAATTTTTTGTATTATTTCTGAAGTAACTATAGGAATTTACTTTCAGCATAGGAGAAAAACAAACTGCATTAAAATTATTTTTTTCCTCTAGTCATGAGTTGTATGAGATTTTCAAGGAATATGTATTAAATATTTCAAGTAATGCATATTTAGTTATACAGACCTGCATTATCCTTAACAACACCCAGTGCTCTCCAGACATTTAAAACAAGAAACAGACATTTTTGTGGTATTGGTTATCTCTTCCATAAGATAAAATACTATTCACTTTAGTTGTTTCTGCATATTCCTTCATTTTCTTTAAATGATGCAGCCTAAAGCTAACTGGAGTTCACATGTAGTAATATGTTTTTAGGCTGGGTTGTTTTTTGGTTGGGGAGTTGGGGGTTTTTTTTATTATTATTATTTTTAATTTTTCCACAAGGCAAAGCCTGAAATTAGTTGCGGTTTAGTAACACTTTTTTCATAATATGCTTTGAACTCTAATAAGGTTCACAAGATGTGTAAACTGCTTTCCTTCTTTTAGGGACACTTTCTCATTTTCCTATTGCTACATTGGCCACTTGATATCCGACAGTGGGATTTCTGCAACCCATTTCAGTAGCGCTGTCCGTTAAATTCCTGATGGGGATCCAAACTTCTGGCTTCATGACCTAAAACTGGGTGATGTTAGGGAGAACCCTACTTTGCTGTGGTGGTGTGATGGCTGCTTTTAAAATCACAATGGAGTGTTCTTTGCCTTCAACAGTGGTACATAAATATATCTTCAGAAAAGGAAATTTTCCTCCTCTTTGAAACTCTTTTCGTGCACTCTGCCTAATAAAGCTGTTTTGATGGTTTTTCATTGTCATAATATTTTATAAAAGCTTTATTAAAATAAGAGGCTTATAATAGATATCTCAAAGAAATGTAGAGTACTGCAAGTTTTCAGCAGTTTTATTATCATACTAATGCAAAGAAGCTAGCAAAGTAGGGTTGCAGTTACTTGAAAATTTTCTCTATTTTACCCTTTCCACCAAAAATCCTTCAAATCTTTGGGGTTTCTTTCCTTTCCTGGATCTTTATATTCTTCCCTCTGCCTTTGCACAGTCATCACTTGAAACAAGAAGACAACATGTCCTCCCAAAATAGCAACAATTGAGACAATACATTGCTGAAAAGTATTTATGCTATTCCTCCTTTTTAAAAGGTAAAATACATAAATTTAATACAGCATGTAGCAGGAAATTATATCATCCAGGAAGCTAAAAGTAGCATGGGCCAGTGGCTGCTCAACTCATTTTTCCAGGTTATTTTTCATGTTGCATTTTCAATACAGTCTTGGAACAGCAAAGAAAAGGAATTTTATTCGGTCAAGGAAATCAGCTTTACAAATGTTCTGTAAGGGATGTTCAAAAGAGAATATTTTTCTTCAACTTTTTCCTTAATTTTTACCAGATAATTTTAAAAAGAATGTTTAAGGAGAATGTTGCCTAATTGTGTAGGAATAAAAGAAAGAAAGATTAAAGAATTGCTCTCCATTTCTTTTTTTTTTTATTCTTAGCTTTCATGTCATATTGTTGCCTGCCTAGAGAGTACATTGTTGATGCTAAGAATAGTACAGTTCCCCTATGTGTGGGTTTTCCAGGATATGCTGATTTAAACTTGATTTTCAAAGACACTGGCTCTGCATAGTTGCTCATTTTTCTAAAGTTAGATGGGAGCAAAAGATATTCCAAATACATAATAATGAGATGACATTATCATTTAAAGGCAATTTAAAGTTATTAAGAACTGTCTGAATCTGTGTTGCATTAAACCAAGGAGCAATGGAGGTAAACAGCAAACAGTGCTTTTCTTGAAAGTATATATAATAAGTACAGTAAATGGTATAGTTTATGATTTTGCCCAGTGACTTGATCCTTTGTTGTCCCTTTGTCCCAAGCAGCCAATTAGTAGTCAGAGCAGTGAGTGACACACTGATTCTGTTAGGATGATGACCTCAATTATCACGTAAGATTTCTGGTTCTGACCTCTTTTATTCAAGTATGTGAACTGAGTCCTGTTTTCCTTAGTAATGCCCGGAAGTGTCCAACAAATTCTTCACTTACAGCTTCCCATCCTGACTACACAGACATCCCATAGCCCCAGAATTTTGTCCCTCTGTCTTTCAAGCCCCATGAATTTGTTACTGTCTCTCCAGCCATCTGCTAGCCTTTTGCCCCAGAATACACCACCGATAATCAATCCTGCCCCGACCTGTCCCCACAGACCCCTGCAATGACAGTCCGGTCAATCTTTCCAATAAGGTCAACTGCTTTGGTCAACAGCTTCTCTGTCTTGCACTATCTTGTCATATAAAAAGTCTTACTTGTTTCTTACTGTAGCCTGTAGGAAGAGTGCTTGACACAGCTATCTCATGCTTAACAAGTTCGGCACATAGTGGGGTTTGATGGCTGTCACTAAAACCTAACTGTACAACTTTTCCTGCATGTCTGAATCACTTGCAGAGTCCTATTGACTACACTGAATTGTGGGGGTATTAAATCCTGGTTTTCACAAGTGAGATTGTGTAAACAAGGTGTTTTAAATAATACATTTGAAATTCACACTGAAATGCACTTGAGGCAAATGCCTGAGCTCAGACAACTCAGATCTGATGATGAGAAAAGTTGCAGAAAAACAAAAATGGGGCTTTAAAAACAGTTTGGCTCTTGTAGTGGACATACATTCTGTCAAAATCAGTTTGTGGAAATTCCTAAAATAGGGCCAAGCACAAGCCCATTTGTCTTGATAACAAATAATAGCCTCAAATTATTTTTCTGAGATCAAGGTTGATGGAAGGACAAAAGCTGCCTAGTTGTCACTATGACAAAGGGTACAAGAGGAGATACTGAATAGAAACCACCATAAAGACTTGATCTGAAGTTTATGATGGCAATGGGGTTAATTATCCTTTGACTTAAATCGCAGCTGAAAAAGAAAACACTGGAAGTGACAGTCTGGGATTATGATAGATTTTCCTCGAATGACTTCCTCGGTGAAGTGAGTATCATATTTCCTCCTCGCTAACCCTGACTAGTTAGAAAGATGATTAAATGCATGCTGATATTTGGAGACTGTTTGCTTCCAAGGTATGGTACATGAGTTAAGTAAAACCTTTGTTACACCACAGTTTTACTGTTGACTTCATAACAAATGATCATGATTTCTGTCATTTACCCATAAAAGAGGCCTTCCCTTTATCTTAAGAAACTGTGGGCAAGTTCATTTAGGACTCAATACAATGTTACTTCACTGAAAAGTAAGATTCTTTTTTTTTTCAGCCTGAGATACTAATAACCTTCACAGTGACTGAATGGGGAATTCTTTTTACGACCGTAAGCTGTCTGCCTTGATTTTAACATAACATGAGAAGGATGAGGAGGTATCAGTCTTTGTAAATGATTAAAGGATTAAATTCTTCCATCAAGCCATAATTTAACACATGCACAAGTATCTGCAAGTGTGAGTAATGTGCTCTTGCTGATCAAGGTCTCATTTTTAACACCACAAAATAGTAATGTCATTACCAAAATGTGCCTGAAGGCACAATCCTGTAATTAATAATAAATGAGATGAGTGATCATGGGAAGAAGTATGCTCCCTCTTTTAAAAGCAAATAAACAAACATGCGTGTATAATACAGAATTAACAGCAATAACTATGATGTCAAAAAAGTAATTACAAATGTTATTACAAAAGAGGATTATAATTAGAAACAGAAGCCCAGGAAAATCGATCACTCACATACAGAGTAACTCAGAGTATCTCTGCTTATTCTGCATTTGAATTTCGCAAAAATGGCGCTCAGTTCAGCTCCAGTTCCCCTTTGTATAACTACAAAACTGAGCAATCAGTGTCACTGTTTGAACAATTGTATAGAAAGCAGCTACATGATTAGTTATTTCCTGCATACTGTATCAGCATTCTTGCTGAGTTCAGCATGTTTGTCCAAATGCAGGACTTTACTCAATATTTGCATCATTGTTATTTATTACATTTAGAAATTGGATGCTCCAGCAGATGCTGCTACAGGAGATTTAAACTTTTGCCTTCAAATATTTTCAACATCTAGAACTATTTTATTTATTAAATTATTCAGAATTAAATATTAAAACAGTTCTTCATGGAAAAAAAAGGAATGGAAAAGACTATCCAGTGTATTTCAGGACCAGGACGTCCAGAGGAATCTTGCACCATAACGTCATATATGGGATATCCAAGTTGTGCTCTAAGGACTTGCTTGAATAGGGCCAGCACCACTTGCATGCCCTAGATGGCAAGTAACACACCATGGTTCACATCCATGGAACACTCTTCTCCTAAAAAGCAGAGCCCCATGCCTATATTGCCTGTTGGGAACAATCCTCAGCCATGCTGCCCTCCAAGTCATTCCCAAAGCCATGACCAAAAACCACACCAGGGAGCATGGTAAATAGTTAATCTGTTCAGATTAAGTATAGACCTAACCAGACAGACTAAGCCAGGTCAAATACAACCTTTGAAGCTGAAAGAAAAAAATGAAAGAACAAAGGCTTTTTACCTTCTAGAAAAAAATAATTTGTGATGAGTATTTCCCGTCTCTAAACTTGAAGAGGCTTTCTTTTATTTGGAGTCTTGCAATAAACTGACAAAGACATCATTCCCTGAGGTAATTGCACAGTTTATTTGTCTAGCATTTCTAAAAATTCCCTGACATTAGTTTTAACTCTCTCACCTTAAAGCCAATGCAAGGCTATTTTTGTCCTTTCCGTACTTCAAGACTTTCTGATGACTCCTTAGTACCTCACATCTCTTGGCCCTTTCGGTTGGAAGACCATTAATGGAGGAAGGGTCGTTATTGGTGTCAATGCCCATTTTTTTAAACTTTTTTCTTTAAAGAAGTTTCACAAAACCTGCTGGCAATGCAGGTGGCCCAGAGCAGATTCGAGCTACAATGGTGGGGCTTTTTAGCCAAATTGCTCGTTTCATTTCCACATGCCATTGCATTTCCCTTTTTTTTTCCAGTGATGTTTCAAGGCCTAAGTGGCCTATTGAATTCTCTTATTTTAGTGAAGTGCAAAGGCATTCCTATTCTTTTCTTTTTGTTACAAATTCTGTATAAATGGATCTTTAAAAAGGATCAACAAGCACCAGCCTCATATTATTGAAGACCTTATGAAAAACAAATACCAAATTATTTGCCCCTTTACTAACACTGACAAAAAGGAGAAAATAACACTGCCCGATACTTCTGTTAGGGTATGTCTATACAGAGACAGAATGACTAGATGTCTTTTTAGTCTGCCTTTAAAGCTAGTGCTCACAAGCTACCCTTTAAACTATCTAGCCAGCTTGGTACGGAGCTATGTCTAAGCTTGGTGCTTACTGAGGTGCTGTGGAGAAGACACGTTAGCTCAGACCCATTGATATGCTAACAAATGTGGGTTTGGGATTACAGCGGTCTTATATCAGGCGAGGTCAGACCACGGGCAAAGAGTCCTGAATCTGTCAGCACACAGCCTTATAGCCTTAACTTCTCACATTTATTTGCAATTTCTGGTACACAGCTGTAGACTCTTCTGCTGTACAAGAAGACTTCTTCTGTTAATAGATCAGATACAGACCAAATATTGTACTTTGATTTTTTTATAGGTATTGATCGAGTTATCCAGCATCTCTCAACTTGACAACACTCCTCGGTGGTATGCTTTGAAAGAACAGAGTGAAAACATTGATCATGGGAAATCTCATTCTGGACAGAGTAGCCAGCAATCTCCAAAACCATCTGTCATCAAGAGCAGAAGTCATGGAATTTTCCCAGACCCCTCCAAGGGTAGGAATGACTTGGTGTACCTGCTATGGAATGTTTTCACAGATGATGGAAAAACCTGTGCTATGTGGAAATTCTAATATAAAAATAAAATTACTGCTATGAAGTTTGTATACACCTTTTTGAAAAACATATTTATGTCTGTAATTAATTCATTGGAGACAAGGCTTAATTTGGCTCGATCACTGCCAGACAGCTTACTGAGTAATTGTGTCCTTAAAACAGCAGCTTATAAGCTCTGTGTGCTTTGCATATCTACTATAGATTCTGTGCCCTTTTCATTTTTGTGGTAGCCTTGGCCAAATTCGATATGTATTTACCTTTCTGTTTTTCATGTTCCTTAAATATTCCATGGCATTTTATCTTCTGGAAATATCACATTAATATTTGATAGAATAACAATTATGCTATAATAATGCATATGCATTTCCAGTCAATTATAATGGGCTGTAGAATATCTCAATTGCATTGGAAATCGGCAGAGCTGTTGTAGTAGAATTTTACTAGTGTTTACAAAACCAGAATTGATCTCAGTGTCTGCCGCTCCAAGAAATTTATCTCTACTTTTTTTTTCATACTAAGTAGTCAGTGGCCAGTTGCTCACTTAAAATACAGTGTATGTCATACCAAAGCAAAAGCCACCCCAAATAGCATCCAGATGAGAGCTGCAGAGTGATAAGACTCTGCTCCACCTTCTCTCTATTTCTCTGTGTAATGTTTTGCTAGGGATTGGTGTCTGTATAAGATCTATATCTAAATTAGAGATTAATACAGAAGCTATTGTACGTTGGGCTACGGTTTTGAGTGGGGGATTCATCAGAATAAAACTGTTTGCATTAGCTAAGTATTCGGTACTGGTGTAAGTGATGCTAGTTAGTCTCTACGTACTAGAGATGTAGAAAGTGGAAAACAAATTAGTCTTTAGGCTACCCCATCATTCCACCAGTGTGAACCAGCACAGGAGGCATAATTCACAGGTGATAAAACCAGAATAATTAATTATTCCCTGGGCCAGGGAACAGTGGGGAAGTAGAAAACGGTGCTTCATAAGGGTTTCCTAATCATGACATATCCCGAGACTTTTAATGGCATTGCACAGCTTAATCTTTATTTGTTGTTCTGGAAAGCAGCTAGAAAGGCAAGTCAAGAGAAAGAAAATGAAATTGTTTGTTATTAATAAATGCAACAGTTATGCTTCTTCATTTTCTTGGTAGACATGCAGGTGCCTACCATTGAGAAATCACACAGCAGTCCAGGGAGCTCCAAATCTTCCTCTGAAGGACATCTACGCTCTCACGGTCCATCTCGCAGCCAAAGCAAAACCAGCGTCACTCAAACTCACCTTGAAGACGCTGGGGCAGCCATCGCTGCTGCCGAAGCAGCTGTCCAACAGCTTCGCCTTCAACCAAGTAAAAGACGCAAATAAATTCCTCAGCATGGCAGCTTAACGTTCATCTGTTGCCTTTTTCCCTGCTGTCCTTCCCTTTTTGGCTACTTTTTTTCTGTTCTTGGCACACTGTGCTCACTCTGTTCAATGTCTGTCTTTGTGTGCCTGTGTGTGAATACATATAATTACAATATACTCTTGTATTTAGAAGTCTTTTGTTTATTTATTTATTTTAATTTATATAGGCTGCAGTGAAACTGGCTGTTTCTCCATCAGTCCTTTCACTCACGGTCCATGATGTTCCATGGTTGTGCATGACTCACAGAGAATGCCATTTTGTGGTGGTGTTTTGATGTCACTAAATAACTACCAAATAGATAATAAAAAAAAAACAAAAAAAAAAACCTGCAGAGATGTAGCCACCAGCTCTTCAAGTTGCACACAACAAGTACCGAGAGCACATTAACAACAAAATATAAGTAGTAATGAGGAAGGACAGTACTATATACAAAAAAGAAGATTTAAAGTTAAAGAAAAAAGTTTTTTAACTACATGGCTGAGATTTCTATTTTTGAAACATGACTGTAAATATCTAATTTTGGGGGGGAAAGAAAATATAAAGCAACCTTCTTAATATCTCAGATAAAATATATGAAGGATGAGCAGAACAGCAACAGACAAAAACATTAAACACAATAACTGCAAAATCATTAAACACACAAAGCCATTCACAACACCAGATTTCAACAGTGTTATCAAGTTAGCAAAGTCAAACGGAGTTGAGGGCTAAGTCAGGTGTCATACCCAGTTCAATTTTTCTAGTAATTTTTGTGCCATGGATTGATTAAAGGTCAAGATAGATTTAATCTGACAACTTTAAATAGATAAATAAATTAAAACTTTTCTATTCAAAAGCATTGCTCTCCAGAGTATACTCAGATCAATATCTGTTTCCTAGTTGAGGGTTTAGTTGATGGCAAATTAAAACTCTCTGACTGTGGAATCATTGTGTTTGTCTTCAGGATTTGTTGATATGCCATAAACTTACCATGGTATAATGCAAAACCCGGGGGAAAATTATTTCCTTTGTCTTCACCATCATTAATAAAGAAACAGCCAGTTTTAATACTCTTTAATGCTGTGCATGTGGTTTCTCTTTGGTGTTTGAAAACACTACTTATTTAAATACAGAAAAAAAACACTTCTGTTTGCATGAATAACATTTAAGCTGGTTCCATCTGAGGATACATACTCTGGGTTTCCATTTCACCCACACTGCCACAGCAGCACATAAAAGCGGTCAGTCTAATCATGCCAGGAAGCAGCACAGACACAGCATAGCAGGAGTCCTCCCTATTCAAAGAACTCAGTCTGACAATCTGCCTCCACCAGCCAATGACAACAAAGACCAAAGCCAACTAGCCCTCAGGAAAGTGATGTCTGATGGACCAGTCAAGCCTGAAGGAGGTGAGCAGACCGACATGGTTAAGAAACCAACCATATTCCAAATCCTTCTTGCCGTGTCTACTAATTCATTACAATATTTAATTATTTATTTTACCTCTCCATTAAGTGCTGTAAATGTTAACATGAATCAAGAACTCTGCTTGATTTTTCCACATCAGCGCATAAATCCGTAATGAAAAACTGACCTAAGAAACATTGCAGAACAGCAAGCCTATGCACTTCCATTCCACTGGAGGACTTAGACTTCTGTTGAAAAATGGTATAGCTTTGCTCATGTTGTTGCCTAATAAAAAGCATGCATCCAAGTTGGTCTGCTTAAGTATGATTGAACATTTCTTGTACTGTGATAAAAACCTAATTGCATATTTTTGTTTCTTCAGTTCTAACTGGGACAATAAGAATTTCTTTTTCCTCTTCCAACATAGTTGTTATGTCGAAAGACATTAACATAGATATTTTTTAAAACCACCAGTGCAAAAGAGTTTTGATCCATGCATAGCTCAATCTCTTGATAACTTTCCTATCAGGCGCTTAAAAAATTATTTTCTACCTGTAGGTACCTGTATATCAAACTTAAATACCACATATCATCAATTTATCCCCTCATCACAAATAAAGAGCCAGAATCTCAATTGGTTCAAATTAGCACTATTCTTTTGACTTCTGGAGCATTTTGCTTATTTTCATGGAATCTGAGGGATTATCTGTATAAATTTACAGACTGGACTCCCAGATCTTCTCTTGTGCTGTAATCCCTTCCCAGGCCCTCATGAGTCATTGAAGTTTTTTCCGTCAACATCATTGCACACCATGGACAACACCATCTGTCTGAGAAGGTTGTAGGAGGGAAGGAGGGAATGATACTTCAAACAATATACCCTAAAGGCAACAAGTCATTAAGAGAAGTAGTGTGGTGTTAAAACAGCTAATTAACAAGGGCAAATTTAACAAATAATTTTAAACATTGTATTTAGAAATAACAAGTTGTTTCTTGTGAGACCCTTAAGAGCTCTTCCATAGATATATCTATCTACATAAATGTGTGCATCCACCCACACACATACTGTCTTACTCTACAGCTCAACTCCAGACACTCAGTTCAGGCAGAGGCCAGAGGGTGTGGTACTAGTTCAGGCATCACGACTGAAAGGCCCATCCTATTCCTGGGATGTATACCACAGAAATCTAATTCTGGAAGGAATGTCCTATGAGGAATAGCTAAGGACTTTGGGCTTGTCTAGTTTGGAGAAAAGGAGGCTGAGGGGAGACATCATTGCTCTCTAAAGCTTCCTGAGGAGGGGAAGCAGAAAGGGAGGTGCTGAGCTCTTCTCCCTGGTATCCAGTAGTAGGACTCGTGGAAATGGTTCAAAGCTGTGCCAGGGGAGGTTTAGGCTGAACATTAGGAAGCATTTCTTTACCAAGAGGGTGGTCAAACACCAGAACAGGCTTCCTAGAGAGGTGGTTGATGCCCCAGACCTGTCGGTATTTAAGAGGCATTTGGACAATGCCCTTAATAATATGCTTTAGCTTTTGGTCAGCCCTGAATTGGTCGGGCAGTTGGACTAGATGATTGTTGTAGGTCCTTTCTAACTGCAATAGTTCTGTTATCCTATCCTATCCTATCCTATCCTATCCTATCCTATCCTATCCTATCCTATCCTATCCTATCCTATCCTATTCTAAATAACTCTTATGATCTTTTGAGGTGTCATGTCTGTAGAGATTTATCATAAATACCTGTAGTCCTATCAAACCTTTTGGCATAGACAAGCAATGCAAAAACTTTTTGCTTGTGATCTGAGGTTGAATCAGGGTTCACATACACTTTTATGATAACGAAATAGCTAGGCTGTTGGCTTCAAGTACACTTGCCACTGAAGTATTATGCTAGCTTCTTTTAAAATTGCAAAATGTATATGTATTGATATGCATTTGACTCAGCAATATTAGAAGCATCATAGAGAGTTATGGGAATAAGAGCCTACATTAATATCATTAATATATAAGTGAGGTTAGAGTTACTATGAAGAGGCATAGTACTTTTGTCTTTTTACTTCTGACAGATACACACAATGCATGGTCACCTACCCAAAGTTTACAAGTCTGGTTTCAGATCTGGGAGAAGTTTTGGCTTCTTCTTATTGTACCAAAACTAGTTTGTCCTAATTTATTCATATGAGGTGGGACAATAATTACCATTTTGAGGTTAATGTATCTCATGTATTTCAGCAGG